ATCTTCTCGGAATACATCCACTAACTTGGACCGCTATTCTAGTGTTAGACTGAGTAAAGCACAACAGGTTAAGACAAAACTGGTCGAAAATCAAGAACAAAGAATAATGATACGATGGTGGCAGCATGACTGACTGTAAATTAAACGTTTATGTTCTTGATGGATTGTTCAGTCCCCACTCACCCTCTAAAAATATCCAATGACGAAGTCTTGCTTGATAATTCCTACTCACAGACAGCGTTTTTTCTGCATCCATGTCCCGTAGGCCATCGTAATTGATAATTGTCATTAGTAGTTTCCAGCAGAACTCTGGATTGGATGACGCGAAAATAAGATTCTCACATAGTAAGTGACATCAACAATAAGTTCTTACAAAAATACCCATTCACAATTACCTATCAAGGAGCAATTTTAAATATTTTTGCACACTAATGGGAAACACACTCTGGATATGTTCACTTCTCGTTGATCCAACACCACCTTATAACGTTTACGTAAGCCCCCAACTATGGACGTATGCGTACCGCTGCAAATGCAAAGAATCGCTTGATCACAGTGGAACCTCACCAGGCGGGTTATTCTTAGGTGCCAACTTCGTATGCATCACTGATTGGTGGGATTCAATAATGCCTGCCCCGTTCGTCGATAGCCAGCAGGAAGTCTTCCGTCGATTCAAAATTATACGTGGTACAAAAACCTCCCGCCACATCTGTCTGCACGGTTATTTCCACAGGGGACTCTGAGTGTGCCAAGTAACTTGGGTTGCAACACTGTGCTCCAAAGACCGCGTTTCGGCAGTATACACACACCTTACATAAAACTCTCGGCATGCTTTTAATAAATTCCCGAATTTGCCCGAACTCTCCGGGTTTTCATTCAACCATCAAAAACCAGATCACAAGTTCGAAGGTTTTAATAAATCCTTTCAAATTAACTATCCGGATCAAATATCAAAGGGGTCGTTTTCTAAATTTCATCAAAACATTCCCGTTTTTTCAGGCACCTTCGGTAAATCACGTCAGCTTTTCACTTCCAACTTTGAGTAACTGTACTACGTGTGGGCTTCTCGGCTCAAGGGCGCTAGACAAAACAGTCGGGATGATTTATTGCTTAGGAATATACACAAAACGGAAATAACGCGATCGCCGAGCAGGACGGATAGTATAAATTTAGAGCCCAGAAATAGCAGTTGGAATGGCGAGGCATGTAATATATCACCAAACTAGTCTTAAGCAGTATACCAAACAGGCAGATGTCTTATTTTCCCCCACACTAGTCATCAATAATTAGACGCAAGTACCCTTAAATTGCTGAAATATGCCTATCAGTCACTGCCAGTCACTGTCTTATTGAAACAAAAAATATGTTTTAATGTCTAGAGGAACTGTGAAGCCCTCAAAGCTGGCAATTCTCTAAATTGCCGTGTATTTATAGGAGAAAATCAAACCAAACAACGATATGCTCTGAAAAAATTGCACGCGGATCAATCATATAATTGCACAAAACACATCGCTTTCCGGGGAACCAAGTTTTAACCCAAACTTTTCTCAGTTTACTTCAGTGGTATTTCGAACCACAATATGTGCATTTTCACGGTCCGCTGCCCTGTTTCCGGGAAACAGTCAAAATACAACCAATCAGCACCGGCTTAATTCTGCGAGGACAAAATTCCGGGTCGACTTACTGGGCCACTGTGTAGCAGCTGAATAAACATTTACAACAACTTGAGATCCATCAACCAACTAATGAGGTTAACGTGCAAGCGCCCCTAACGGAATACCCTTCCGATGCCTCGTCATTCAATCTTGGCCCCAGTGTTCAACTATCGCAACTGGCAGTTGCCAAGTTTATGCAGCGCAAGTTGGCGCGATTTGGCGAAACATTCCTTCTGAAGACGGCATTCAATGTTCATTCGCCTGCCTCATGTTTTTATGTCCGCAGTGGATGTCATCTTTAAGCAGTACGAACTACCGTGCAAGTTTGCACCAACTGGTGTACCTCGTGTAATGTATAAAATCAGAAATCTGTAATATGTATTTAAACCAAAGGACACCTCACTTATGTTGAACCTCTAAATTCTAAAGAGGCATCAGTGTGGAATTCCCTCTTTTCTTATTCGAATACTAAAAAATTGCTCGCTAAGACCAACGAACCAATCCACCTTAGTAGCTGAATCGAAGAATACCAATTATGTGGCTTCGCTCTTATAAAGCTTGCAGTCAAATCAAGGCAGTATGTTGTCAAGCTCATAAGACTTAATTTTACAAATGCATGTTTGAAAAGAAACACTTGTCTGGACTCAAAAGTAGATCACCCTTTCATCCCCAACAGTGCTCGCGGTAGTTCTTACGCGGAAGTTCCCCGGGAAAGACGTTTTACATGTTTCCATCTGCTTCCAAATCAGGCATACCGCGTTAGGTATTGAGCCTGAAGCTCGTGTTAGCATGGCCTATGTGAACTAGCTAATTAGAGGCTTTCTTACGGGCTCAACTTATAATTGAAGCTGCATTCAGATCAAGTGTGCAGCCAAGAGTGAGACTTTAAACACGAGTCACCAATACACTCATTCTGGACACATATGATGGAACTGCCGGACGTGCGAAAAATCTTGAAGTTGCTTAAATTAACCGTGACTAGTCACCTGCAAATGGTTCCCCCATTATCCCGAATCAACGACCAGTGGTTGCATGATTCCTCAAAGATGCGACACGAAAATAGGCTTTGCGGCCATCAGTACTTGGCCACCATTCGACGATAAATCTATTGCTGGACGAGGAAAAAAAGTCGCATTAAGTGCAGCACAATTTCGACGTAAGCCTAATGTATGCTGGCATGACACACAATATGAGCGCGAAAATCGATTATTGAGGCGACTTTAGCGCTGAGATTGGCGCACATCAGCTTATGGTGTTGAGTGTGCTATCATCGTTTGCACAAATTTCTATGTGTAGATTTTTAGTTGTACCTGATTTTGAAGACCTTTGTTATCCAAAACTTGCTTCGTGGGTTGCCACTGTTGTTGAATGCTCTCAAAATTATTTGCACCATCATCAATTACTGGTTCTGCAAAGTTCGGTAGAGAAGTGATAGAGTCACTGAATGGAGCGCCGTAAGCAGACCGGTACTGATGCGGCGTTGAAAATTCAAGCTATAACCTCGATGTGGCATTTTGTGATGTCAACCTTCTCATCAGTATTCCCATGGATGTCATCGGAAGATTGTCACCCGGCATCTAATCTCTCCAAGCACTTTTATCTATTATTTTCACTATTATCTCTACTTAGGTCCATGGGCGCCAGCTGAACGCATCCGTTTCAGGAACCTGTATCTAAAACATTACCGCGAGGTAGACGAATTCACCATAACTTCAAATTCTGACCGCCGTTTTCCGTGATGTCATTTACTCTCACCGATTTATCCGCTCCCAACCCTAATATTCGGAACCGGTTATC